AACAGGCCTCTGCTATGCAGATCATACTGGAGAGTGATTATGAGCTATGTTCATTTTTATGGGGTAGACTAATTCAGTGACAAGCCTCTTCCCCAAAATAATTTGCCAAACTCTGCCTTCCTCCAAATCAAGATAATCAAGGCTATGTTCTCAGGTCATAGTGTGGCCTTTAAATGGCAATTTAAAAAATAATTGAAAAGTTATACGTTTGAAAACAAATAACATTTACTTTATAACTCTTGGACTCAAAAGGAACCCCAGGGGGCGAGGGAGCATGCAGTTTTCCTGTTGGGGGATGATCTTACGACAACAACAAAGTTACTGGACAAGGGGCACAGCTGCAGGGCTGAACTCTCCTGGGCTGTGCGAGACCCTGAATTGGATGTTCACACCACCGAAAAGAAAAAGGAAAGAGAAGGGGGAGTGAGACTGGGAGGAAAGGGGAGAGTGGAGCAATGAAGATTTTAGAGATTCTCAAACTGCTTGTGGTAAAGAACCATATCTTATTAATATTCTACTCAGGTATAGATGTATTGTTTTTATATAATACAGTAGAAATAAGTTACTAGATAAGCAAAACTTTTAAAAGCTACATAAAACAGCATGCTGTAGTGGCACACCTCCTTTTTAAAATTTTCTTTTCTGTGTATTCTTTGTGTCTTTCATACCATGCATCCAGAGCCCATCTTCTGTCCCCTCATATCTGCCCTCTTCCCTGCAAGCCCCACCCCTAACAAAACAAAATAAAATTTAAGATAAAATAGGAGATAAAAAACAAAGAAAAAAAGGGAGAAAGGGAAAATCTCATCATGGAAGCTGCAGTGTGACACAGTGCAGTAAACCCCTTCATCCATACATCTTAACTTGCAGGCATTCTTTGCAAAGAATCATTGGTTTGGTTTGTGGCCCCTGGTTTCTTCTGTACTATTGACACTGGGCCCTCACTGGGACTCTTCTTGGACATCCCATTGCTGCCTTGTGTCCTGGAGATCCTGTAGCCCTGGGTCCACAGGACCCTCTCTCCTCACCCCCATTCCACACCTATGCTCCAGCAGATCACAGATGGGGTGGGCTAATCCTTAACCCTGGTTCTGGACCTGGGTAGTTGCAGGGTTGGTCAGTCTGCCAGCTCTCCCCTGTCTTCACCACCAGGGTGAGTTTCCCAGCATTGCCTTGGCTATTTCACCCTTGCATCGATGAACAAGGGGCAGGGGTCGTCGGTTCTCCTCCACCTACTCCAGGGCCAGCTCTACGATGCGGCCAAGTCCCTTCTGAGTACCACAGCTAATGAGGGGGCAGGGCCAGCTCTCCTGCTCTTATGACCTCAGGGCCATCTCTCCCACCTGAGAGAGGACACCCCCTCATGCCTGCCACATGACAGATGAGTAATGGGGACATATGTCCCATTACTCATTGATGGGTAGATGGGTGGGGATATCTCTCTCTGACCAGGCCATGGCACACATCTTTAATCCCAGCATTTGGGAGGCAGAGGCAGGCAGATCTCTGAGTTTGAGGTAGGCTTGGTCTACATAGTGAGTTCCAGGAAAGCCAGAGCTACACAGAGAAATCTTGTCTCAAAACAAACAAGCAAACAAACAAACAAAAAAAAAACAAACAAACAAACCAAAAAAAAACCAAACAAATGAAAAACAAACAGACCAAAAAGCTACATAAAACACAAGTCTCAATTTTTGCTAGATACAAAAGGCAAAACCATTTCAATAAATATAAACTTAAACTAAGCAAACATAATATAGACAAAAGTCTCTTCTACATGATAATCCTGTTTTTTTTTTTTTTTTTGTACTCGAAGCAGACTAGTTACAGATAAGTTGAGGCTCAGTCTCAGTACTACTGATTTATAGAAAAAAAATCATTTGTTGACTTAAAACAATATACACATGCAATCTACAATTACACATACAATACCCACATACAATCTATGATAAGCACAAAATCGAGTAGGCAAAGTAATACTTGTTAGACTTACTACACTGACTGAAAGGGGAAGATAGGAAGGAAAGAAAATCTGAATAAATAACAATTATTAAATCTAGATTCTGACCCAGAATAGGCCAAAAGAAATGGTGTGCTAAGAATACAAGTCTCTCAGCTTCTGCCTCCCACAGTGAGCACCTTCACAAAGAGGCACATGAAGTATAGTCCCTCATCACTCAGTATTCGTCATTTACTTTGACTGCATTTATGATCTTTAATATGTTCACCTCACTCTATTTTTTTTAACATTTGCTGCCCTCTCGAGTGTGTGTGTGTGTGTGTGTGTGTGTGTGTGTGTGTGTGTGTGTGTGCGCGCGTGCGCATGTACATGGTCATATGATCGTGGGTAGTGTGTATGGGCTGGGGTGTGTGTGTGGAGGTGAGAGGTGTGTGTGGTGTTGGTCTTTACCTCCTACATCATTTGAGACAGGGTCTTGTTCTCCAGGCTGGCTGGCCCGTGAAGGCCCTAAGCCTCGTCTTGCCTCTCCATATCCCTGATTACAGATAGGTATAGGTGAGTTTGGCTCCATGTTGGTTCTGAAGATGCAGACCACCACCTGGGAATGCATTTCATTTCCCACTGAGCCATCAGCTAGACCGAGCTTTACCAAACTAATAAGGAACTATTAGCTAGAAATTTCTCCTAGAGTTTAATGTGCCCCTGAGTTTTCCACATTGACCACCTGAATAAACCATAGTGTCTACTACAAAAATGCCTTTGTTAATTCATGCTGATGTGGGCCAGAGAGAAAGAATTTAAGGTCTTGTGAAGCTCTCAGATGTGGTGTACATTTCTCCACCCTCTTCCTCTTCATTTTTCCTTCTCCCTCTCCCTACTCTATTTTTACCCCTTGAGCTTGTTTGGGGGTGGGGTGGGGACAGCAGTCTTATAGCTCAGGCTGGTCTTGAACTCATGATCCTCCTGTGTTAGCCTCCCAAGTGCTAAGATTGTAGATATGGGTCACCACACCTGGCTAGTTATAGCCTTTCAATTCTGATGCATCTTTAACACACCCACACCCATGAAACCTGCTCATAAAGTACAGCTGCACAAAAAGGACTGGGAAAAGGTATATTTTATACCATGGTGTTTTGCCAATAAGTAATTAATTATTCCTGCCTGTGAACACAAGACATCTTCCTTACAGTTGTATGACTCAAAGCCATGGGAACAACTTTCTTGCGGGGTGTGTGTGTGTGTGTGTGTGCTGAGGATGGAACCTAGGATGTCACATATGCCGCCAAAAGCTCAACCACTGTCCTGGGTCTGTATTCCTTTTCCTTTTTGGAAGCTTCCTTCAGGAGCTAAGAGGTGGGACACTGGGACCTGGAAGTTAGCTTCCCCGTTTTGAAGCATCCCAGTGCTCAGAGAAATGAAGGAGGGAGGTGAGCAATAGTTACCAGTGATTCTGAGCTGCAGAGGGATGCTGCTTGTCTGTGCACTTGAAGTTTCATTGTTTATTTATCAAGACAAATGTTTAAACTTTTCCATTACCTGCAGAGACATACTCTAATTGAGTCTAGAAATATGTCTCATGCCTTATTTCTGAAACTGTAGCCCTCAGGACTCACCAGTATACTAATAACCAAATAAGTATAAATTTGAAGTTAATCATAATACATACATTTTCTGTAACTCATTGGCTTTTGAAATTAACCACAAAAGTTAACACTCATTCTAGTAAGTCAAGCAATGGTGTTATCTCTACAGAATTTTTTAAATGGGGAGTCACAAGAACCAGGAAATGAGCGAATTTGGAAGAAAATTGTGGAAAGCAAGACTCTCCAAAGCTAAAGCTGAGGACTTCACCACAAGCCAATCTTTTCTTGGTTCAATGAGTAAAGTAGTCAGTGTAGTAGCTTGGTACAAGTTTCCCAGACTCAGCTGATCCCTAAAAGGATGTGCCAGCTAACTCAAGCTCCCAGGATCTCAATTATCTCTAATTTAGAATGAGTGAATGGCCCTTCTCTTCACCTTCTTGTTCACCTGTGAGATGGACATTTTGTCACCTCAGCTTTTTGCTCTGGATGACAGTCCTATGTGAGGTATTGGCTACATGTGCTTGGAGCTGAGGTTCTTCTAGAAGAATCAATCCCCAATAGCTAACTCTAGCAGTGTGTTTGAGCTACCGAATTCTGAGAGACACACACCCCTTGGAGGGCAAGAGCTGTGGATTTTGTTTCCTTTCAATTCCCCTTGGCTCAGGCACTATGTGTAGCATAGCAAGTAAACTCAGCAACTAACAATAATTGAGGGAAAGTCATGCTTTGCAAGGCACCAAATATCTCTTCTTAGGAAAAAAATGTTTATTGAAATGCATGTAGATACATTATTGCCAACATAAAACTGCTAATGGAGTTTTCAACATGGATTCCGTTAACTTTTTAAAATGAAGTGAGGCTTTGAAAGTCCATTGTCCCATGAGAAAAATATTATATTTCTCTGCTTGGATAAAGTCCTTTAAAAAAGCAAACCAGCTTTGAAATGTTCTTTAAACATCTCCAACCTATGAATATATAATGAAACAAAAGATATATTAAAAAATATAATTGTTTTTGTTTAAAGGGAAAAATTAAATATGAATGATGTAGAGGTAAGACAGATGGGAAAATTATACATGCTAAGTTAGAAAAATTTCTCTTATTTTATTAGAATTCACTAAAATACTTAAGAAATAATAGAAACAGCAACAAAATAATTACAAGTGATCATAAAATAAAACAGTAGTTTTAGTTTTAATATTTAGGGGGAAGGTCCAACAAAATGTTGTCTCCTCAAATAAACTTTTAATAACTCTGATTCTAGTAACTTAGAAATATGGCCCAAGGTGGATTTTCATTTCCATTTAGGACTGTATCATTTTAAGAAAAAACTAAAATTAAATAGAATAACAGTATGTGGAAGAAAATTTGAGGAAATCATTAGAACTTTGTACAGGCTAATAGAAGTTAATAGTTAACTCTTTGTATATATGCTTTAAAACTTCTAGACAGATGACTTATGGGTATTCAATGTCAACTTCATGCTCCACGCTGACCTGTTTGGATCCACCCATGTTGTGTTGTTGTCCATCTCCAATGGAGAGTCTGTTGAAGGGAATTATCTTCATGGTAGTTTCCTTCATGGAATACCAGCGGGTTTTCCATGTGGCCCAAATAATGCCATTGTCATAGCCATTAGGAGTAGATGCCTTCGAGTAAGTGCCACCTGCAAAGGGTCAGAGGTGCATGTCTTTTATCCTTACATTTCCATACCTCAGAGTCCATTAGAATTATCACATTTACAGCATTTCCTCCTGCCTGAAAACATCCTCAGAGGTCTAAAAACCAACAAGACATTTTCCTGATCACATACATACTTTAAGTTTATTGATTATTGCCAGGGCTGGAACACCTCTCTCTGTCTGTCTCTCTGTCTATATCTCTCTTGGTCTCTCTGTGTTTGTCTCCATTTGTCTCTATCGCTGTCTTGCTGTCTCTCTGTCTCAGCTATTGGAGGCAATCCAATAGGCATTTAGGTTACTATGGTAGGAGCTACGAATTCCTGATTAAGTGGTCTGACTGTATGAGAGCATGATCTTCTGGCTAATAGAAGATGTTATTAAGTCCTTTAGACAGTATCTCTAGAAAGTTGTTCCATATCACCATGCAGTTTCTCAGCAGTAGACAGAGCTATATTCTAATTTCTTAAAAAACCCCTTAGTATTCCTGGTGTATCTCCATTTAAAGCTGCTGGGTTGTCAGTAAAATCAGTGTTCTAAACCCTTTCCACCATACAGAAACCATCACCTCCCCCACGTTAAAACAAGTGTCTACAATCTCCTAGCTACACTCTTCATTCTAGCTTTTATGTATCTTTGATCTCACCAGTACTTCTTTGCCTCTTATTTCATTTTTCCTGACATCTGTTCACTACCTACTGCTTGTATCTGACACAGGGTTCATGCACAGCTGAGCCAAGGTAATGTGTCCACAAGTACAGATATGGTAATTCTAGTCAATCTATGCCATGCACATGGCAGGTGTAAAGGATACGCAACTGTGTCAAATCCCAACTCAGACGATGAGAGTTTCTGCACAATAACAAAACCCTGGTATTTCCTAGGAATGGTGGGGGGACACTATAGAGGTGACCACTGTAGGCAAAAGCTTAATATTATTTAAGATAATGCCAGTTGGATAATTAATGTTATCCTACTCTGATTTCAAATAAAGAGCTATAAAATTTTTAAAAATTTGTGTGTATTATAATACTTCACCTCTCTGCTTCTGTTTATCACCTTCCATTAAACATCTATTATACACTACTCATAACTGAAGAAAAAAATACCTTGGTAATAAATTCCATTGAGGTGGCCAGCATGACATTTGTTCATCCACCAACCAGATCCATCCTGTTCAGCACAGTTGCCTTCAAACTTATCATTATCATTGTCCCAGGTACTGAACTGCATGCCATTGTGGGATGTAAAATGCTTGTCACTGGGATCATCACCAAAATCGTAGCCATCAAAGGCATCCCCAGCTTCTCCACCAAGGAAGTAGGCATAGGTCAGGCGATATTTGTCAGATTCAGGACCCAACCTGAACATGGCATAGTCTGCAGTGCTGTGAGGATGGAACGGAGATAGGACACCTTGAGTCACAAGGCTAAAACAGACAAATGGAGTGAAGTTTTCTGCAAATCTATGCAATGGCTGTGTGTACCAGTCCCGGGCTCATCCCCACCATCCAGGATGGATCTAAACGCCTTCAGTGAATCCTAGAAAAACTAAAACCCACATGCTTGACTTTTAGTTACAGAACCTTAAGATCCAAGGAAAACTTTTGGGCAAATCTAATCATTCCTACTTTTATTTAACTTTTATTATCACTACAAACACATTATCACGCATCACAATAATTATCTACAATGTGTGAACTCATGCTCCAGATTTGAAGGAGACGGGTTCCATTATCCATCAGTACCACCTGAAGTGTGAGGGCATGAAAGGTTCTCCTTTTACAAAGCAATGATGTACTGGCAAAAAAAGAGACTTTTTAGAATATCACAGAAACCATGAACTCTGTGTGATACGTGAAATGAGTGCCATAAGAGCCAGAGAGACCGCCTCTGGGAAAATTTGTGAAGGACACTGAACAGAGAGAATAAATAGAGATTTCCCAAAAATATCTGATCTCTTCCCCAATATCCCATACTTGGGAAACAGATGATGCTCACATAGAAAAAGGCCCGCTGACTCTGATAGTTTGGGGGGTTAAACTAAAATAAAAAAAAAATGAGTTTGGAACTGGAATGTATTTCATTTTTCATATATAATAAGAAGATTGTATAATTTTTCACTTAAATTAGGTGTTCAAAACCCAAAATCCAGATATCTCTCAGTCTAGTAAGGCTGGAGGTCACCACAAGAATCAGTTGATTTGGAAGTGATCCATTTAAGATGAATCATTAAATGAGTGGGAAATCTGAATGGTTGGATTTGATTGAGTGTAATTGCACACACAATCTCTGGTTTACATTTAATACCCCATATCAATCACTCTCAATGTTTCCAAGTATATAAGTTGTTCTAGAGCATTCTGATCCACACTGGGGAGACCTAGCTTAGCTTACTCTTCAGGCTGTCCTAGAACCAAATACCCTCCTAGGAAAGAGCCTGGATACAATTTCTGCATTTGTCAGGTTGTTTTGCCATTGTTCCATTGCCAGTTGCAAAGGGTCCATTAGCAGCAAAACGTCACAACAAAAAGTGGAAGCCCCTTCCACAGCATACCTGGTCCTGCCATTCCAATCTTTGAGCTCTATTCTCAGTGTGTATGGGATTGTGGTCTGTGTGCTTATCAAATGAATCTTCTCATTCCCCAACCAGAACTCTGTGGTGCCAGTAGGAGACAGGTGTCCAAATCCTTCTTTATACTGAATCCAGTTCTTCTTGAAATCCACACTGCCATCAAGCCTCTAGTGTACAACAGCATGGACAAGAGGAGAAAATGGATGATTGGTGCATACAGAGAAACAATATTCAAAACATGGAGGTTATGATTCTGGGGACAGGTACCAGGTGGACCCGGGACTCGCCCATAAGGGCGTGGTGAAGGAAAGCCGGGGTGACGTAAGAGAGCTTCTTAAGGGGTTGCACGTGGGGACCCGGGACCCTTTTGTTCTGGCCGCGCTTGCTGGGTTCTATAACCTAGCTCTGGCCTGTGTTTTGCCTTGGTGTCTTCTTGAATAAAGAGACTTTAATCATTACAGCCAACAACCAGCTAAATGACCTCATGTGAGCTGCCTCCATTTCATCACCTACCAAATAGAACAATGATGTTCTGAGGACTACAAACATCACATCACATCACACACACACACACACACACACACACACACACACACACACACCTGCTACATCCTTAATTCTACATTAATGATAGGGGTATTTTTCCTCTTTGTTTTTAGTTTTTTTTTGTTTTGTTTTTGCTGCAGGTTTTTTGAAGACCCTCAGAAGTCTTCAGAATTCATACTTGGTACTATAGTGCACTGCTCAAACACATTGCCAACAGACAGTCCTGCAGGGGACTCTGTAAGGATGGCAGGAAGTATACAAGTTTTTTTTTAAAGGAGCCAGTTTTGCAGTGGGTACTAGGTAGGAAGATGCCACAAAACAACAATGATGACAGCAACAACAACAAAATACCGCTTTGTTGTGAGCCACCCAGCTTCATCCTCTGAGAGGCTTTGGGTTACTGTTAATGGGCAGCCTTATCTCTTAATCTGAGGAAAGAGAACACTTTCATGCCTTGTCACTAAAGGACTTTGCTTATGTGACCATATAATATGAAAAAATATGCTTAATGTGACAGATGTGACAGCAGAGTCAGCATGGTATTGCAGCAAAGCAAGGTAGAGCCACGCTGCTGGATGCAAATCCTGCCCATTACTCATTACTGAGGGGCTATCATGCTTCAGCATCTCTTCTACAAGTTAAGGCAACAATAGTGTTCACCACAAAGAGGCTACAGTGAGAGTTATGTGGGCTGATGCTCACAGGATGCCTATATATGCAGTCAGAGGCTGTTCATTACCTTCTGCAACACAGTCCAGCCATTTCCAGATCCATCGATTTCACAGTACACTAAGAACTGCAGTTTAGATTTCAAAGGCCGAATGAAGTAAAGTCCACTTTCTTTGGCACCCTTGTTGGCAATGTCCTGGCAATCTGATGAAGAAGCAAATAAAACTGCTGCAGTGGCTTGAAACCCAGGTAGGGTGCTTACAGTTGTAGCCGCCTCCCTAGCCTTTCCCACTGCCATGCCTTCCAAATTATTGATGTGTACCCAAGAAAACCCAGGGCAGTTGGAATCCTTAGGTTTAAGGTCAGATGCTTTCCAGACTTGTAACACATTGACGCATAATTGCTTTTATTTTTGCTGTTTGCTTTGATGACCATGATCCCAGGGTAAATTTCTTCCATACCTTTCCCAGTTGTGTCATGGATTTTCACGGTGTCCTTGCAAGGCTCCTGGCACTGATCTTCAAGTTGGGCTACCTTCTGTTTCAGGTTTGTGATCTTCTGGCTATTTGAATTATAGATTTCCTGTAAATACCTAGGAAGAGAGCAATGCAGTAACAGGGGATAAGCATTCCTTTCAACAGAACACATTTTTTTATTCTTTTCTGTCAGAAATGCTGCTTTATTTTCTCCAGCACTCCTTTGCGATAAATGACTTCATTCTTGGGAAATTGGGAAATTTTTGAATTGTAAAATTAAATTTGAAGCTTTTGAGAAAAGAAAAATAAATCCAAATCCCTATCCATTTCAACAGGAGAGTAATTGGGAATTGGATGGGGCAGGCAGGTCTCAACTTTGAACACAAATAACAAAGTCCCTGTCAATAAACAAAGGTCACTGTAGGTGGCTTTTCTGAGTTTTTCCTTTTCTATAAGGGGGCTCAGGGAATAATGTGTGGGTGGTATGCCTGGTTAAGCCGTAGCTCACATGTGCCATTTAGGGCTTTCCATCTGTTCTATGACTTACATGGGGAAGGTCCCTGGGATACTTTACTATACACGAAGCAGTAGATTCTTTCCCTTTCTAGTTCCATATCTCTAGAAAACATCTGGGGAAAGTGAAAATTTTGCCTTGGTCATTCTTCACATGGATGTTTATAAATATTCAGACATGACAGATAACTATGAGCAACACATAAACCACGGTGTCTGTCTTTGAAGTAAAAAAGAGGGACAAACTGTTGTACCACTTTGCTCCTCTGTTCTAGAAGATTTCTCATCATGGTTTCCTTATAATTTAATGATGAGCAAAAGTAATGGAAGTTATAATGACAATTGTAGCAACAACAAGCACTACTTTCTGACAGCAGAAAGAGGACAAATATGTTTGGAGCCACCTCTCCTTAGCTACCATCTAACTCAGTTTCCAACAGTGTTGTGAGTTCAGTTTGGGGGAAAAATAGGGAACGGAGTTAAAGCTGCACCCAAGAGTGAGGACAGAGGGCAAGGTATAATGGCAGGTCCATGTACTATGGTCAAGTGGCTCCAAGACATTTACTTCCTACTCCATCTTTGACACGATTTACTACAGTAGCCAAGACTCTTCTTCTGTCTCTGTTTTCTGATTTCTTAATGTTGATTTGGTGACATGATTTTATAGAGGATTGTATTTTTCACACACCAATTCCTATGCATTCGGCTTCATTTTAAGGGCATGGGGGCCATTTAGGCAAACAGGGCCAGGATGGCATTTGACTATGTCTACAGCAACTTTTCTCCTTTGTGGTAATTATTATCATTTTTTAAAATTTATTTATTAGTTCAAGTTAGGGAACAAGCTTGTTTCACATGTAAGTCCCTTCTCCCTCTCTCTCCCCTCACCCTATTATCATTTTTTTTTTTAAATCACAACCTGGTACAACTCATTTTTTACTAAAAGCTCTTAGCTCTACTGGGTTAATACCAATTTGATATTTTAAATAAAAAATACATTCCAAGATCACTTTCTGTGAAATGTGGAATATTAAGTAAAATCTCAGTCTGCCTTGGAGAGTAAATTAAAACCCGGATGCTCACCGAATACTTGTCTCATGTGTCAATATCAGCGCTTCATATTTCATAATGTCTTCTGTCATCTTCTTAGACTTCTGAGTGGCACTGTCTATCATATCTGTAACATAGGGACAGAGACAGAGAAACAACTTAAGCAAACAGCCCAACTAAAAGCAGAAAAGGTAATTCCTCAGTGGGCATTCTCACTTGGCTTTGGGGGTTGGTTGGGGTTGTAGTAAACTTGTATTGCTTTGATCAGTTCATTGGCTTCTGTGGTTCTGTTTTCAGCGCGGGCTAAGATGTCTTCCAGAGCTTGGAGGTCATTGTGCACGTCGGTTTGGTAAGAGGACAGGAAGCCTTCGATACCACAGGTGGTTGGGCAGTAACTACCCTGTAAGTCAATAAGGAGGCAATTGAACAGCCCGAGAGGCGAAGTCTTAAATCCTATCCATAAATGTTAAACCATTCCCCAATAGATTAAGAAGTTCCCATCCTTCTCTAGTCCCAAGACACGGACGACATAGAAACTACTTACGAATCTCTCATCTAGGATGCAACAGTTATCTCTGGTAGCAATGTACTGTGGGAGGAAAACACAGACATTTTGCTAGTGGCTCTGATCCTTACCCATTTTTGATTTTAAAACAATATGGCTCCTGAAGGGTACTTACTGCCAGGCCCGTTGGAGAGAGCAGTAAAAGCGTGCAGCAGAGAATTAAACTCCGGGGCTGCAAGGACCAGCTCATGATGTCTGTGTGACCTGGTGTTCCCAGCCCCTCACAGCCAGCACTGTGACCTTTTGGGCTCTCCATGGTCATTTATGTGAGTTCCCAGCCTGGGCGGGACTAAGAGTGGCTGGAACTGGTCACGGGGCCTCTTTACCAGAAGCGTGGGCTCTTTCCGCTCATTCTGGCTCCCAGCTGTGCTCTGTCAGATTTCCAGGTTTTGCACACAGGTTTAAGCTCCTCCTTTTGGGCTCAGCCCAACCTGTAACCCTAGACACACAAGCATCTGCAAAAGCCAGTAAAGCATTGGCTCTGAGGAGGGATGGAGGCTGCGTGATGCAACTGTTTCCAGTACACCTCCACCAGAACAAACAGTGTTCTGACCTGCCCATAACAAACCCAGACTATTCCGAGGTCTGGCCTGCTGCAGCCACAGGCACTACTGAAAGATCTGTCTTAGCACATGGACGAGGTGACACTATCATTTTTAACCCGTGGCTATCACAGGAGGTGACTTTTCCTCCTTCCATGCCTCACTTCTGTATTCCCAAGAATGAATCGTGCTGGAAATGGGTTCCTGTCCAATCTGTGTTGTCCTTTTTTCTCAGGTCAATTCTCATTGGGTTTTGGCCTCAACTTGTCTGATGGCTGGAAGAGAAACTGGCTCCCATCTGCTGCAAAAGGGAAGGAAGGGGTCAGGGGTTCAGTGCTTTGTCCTGAAGCCCCAACTAGTTCTTAGAGAGAAAACTTGGCCTCAGAGAAACCCACTTCCAACATACCTCATTAGAAGCCTTGTTGAAGGAGAAGAGACAGAGAGAGACTCTGAGAAGGTTCATTGTCTTTGTGGGGAAAAGGCATTGTCACTTCTCTTTGATAATGACAAACAGCTGCAGCACTGTCACTAAGTGCGTGCAGTTGCTCTCCTCCTCCCATGACACCAAGCTTGCTGCAAACTGTGATGAGCTATGTGATTGGAAGAAATGCATCTAATTTGAAAGATGCACCAACATTTTGCTATTTGACTTGAAGCTTTTACAAAGTAGTGTCTGCTTTGACATTAAAAACAAAGAAATGCTTGTGCTCTGTAATTAGTCAGAAATCATTTTTAAAAAGTGAGCTCATCTAATCAAAAATGTGGCCATTTCTCTTCCTGACTGGATCTCCCTCCACTTCAGTCACTTCCTGTTGCAAGCCATTTGCCAGTCTTCTTACAGAGTAGCTCAGACTGTGCCATTCAGCTGCTTAAAGACCCTTAACAACCCGTCTCCCATCACAGTGCAAGTAAAACACACTCTTGTCCTCCTAGACTTGCCGCGTTTTCTTTTTTGCATCCCCGAGTCCCACCTGTATGAACCTCATCACATCCTCTCCTGTGAAACATGTACTCCCATTTCTGATTATGTTTTCCTGTTTTCTACTCTTTTGGGGGGCCTGGTTTGCCAATATTCATAGGAACTACTGAATTTATGACTGCCAAAAAAATGTCCCAAATAAGCCAGAAGTCCTGTGTCCTGGAAGTTGGCCCCTCTAACACAGCATCACTCCATAGCACTGGATCCAACTCTCTATGTTTGTAGGACTTATAGAGCCCTGCATTATATACCCTACCAACTTACCAGGGGAAGCTTAGTGTTTGGCAACAGCACCAACAGAGAGAGCCATAGCTAACGCTCAACTATTACTGAATGACTTCTGTTGCTTGGGCTGGAAGTGAGACTACCTTTAATGCCAATACTCCTGGAATTCTCAAAATTTCCAAGTTGCAAAAGTAAATGAGGCACCTCATCTACTGTTAAATGAAAGAGAAAAACATGACATTTGCAGTTTTGAAAAAAATGATGATTAAATACATAAGTAACACGGAGCCACACAGCTCATGTTATCAAGAGAATGCACTGGTACTTACCACTGTTGTCTCTGGGGTAAGGAGCAGAGAGCCATGATGGGTAAGATTAGGAGAAAAGCTTCATTTTCTTGGAATATTTATTCTGTGCCTTTACAGTTTTGAGCCCATGTATATATTATCCACTCCAAGTACACAATGGTTGGTCATTTGCAGTGATTTATTTGTTGTGCTAATAATAACTTCTTGGCTGTTGCTAAGAATATTGTTTTGGATACTGAGTATTCAACCTTCCTTATGGCTGATGGAATGTCCTCTCAACTTCTGATGCCTTTTCTGATTTGAATGGAAAAGGTCGATTAAAACATAGATTTTAATGAGTAAGAAGCCCAATTGGAAAGTGTATCACTTATAGTTGTTAAGGGTGTTGGAGTCCATGTGCCTGGGTTGGAATCCAATCTCCATGTCTTACTAATTATGTGTCCCTTAGTCTCCCTGTCTTTCATAAATTGTGTTAGTAGAAATTATACTTCCACTTACTTATAAAAATCTCATCAGAACTCAGTGAGTGATTTGTTGAGTACATTGATTGACAAAGCACATTAATTGTTTCCAAGGTTTACAATATACAGGGTGTTTTATGCAACTTGTATAAACAGGGATTTTTTTTTTATTTCCATAGAGTTGTTCTTTTTTTTTTTTTTTTTTTTGGTTTTTTGAGACAGGGTTTCTCTGTGCAGTTTTGGAGCCTATCCTGGCACTAGCTCTGTATACCAGGCTGGCCTCAAACTCACAGAGATGTGCCTAGCTCTGCCTCCCGAGTGGTGGGATTAAAGGCGTGTGCTACCAACACCTGGCTTCCATAGAGTTTTAATAAGAATTCTTATTGGTATGCTGCATTCATGAAAAATGAGCTTTGTTGCAGCTATCGAACGTTCTTTTCTATAAATTATCTGTTGTGACTAACTGCCATCTAGAAGGCTCCATAGACAACAGAGTTCTGGGCTACCTCCTAAATAAAATTTACCACTCACAAATTGAGTGATAAGAAGTGTACTGATGCCTCACAAGAAGGTGTGTGGCAGCCACCTCTAGATAGACAAAACATGTCTCTCTCATGGGTCTTTGCACAAAAGAGTGGAAAGTACTGACTTGAATTTCTCTTCACAGTCATTGGCACAGGTGGGTGTTAGACTCAACCTCATAAAATCTATTAGCTGTATCAATGAGTGTAACACAAATAAAACTGTTCAGCTGAAGATGTTAGTTAAAAACGTATCTTACCCAAAAATTAAAAAGATTTACCAATATTTATTCTATGTATATGAGTGTTGGTTCTCACAATTGTGTAGTATCATGTGTGTACCAGGTATTGGAAAAGGCCAGAGGAGATTCCCCTGGAACTAGTTTTGGACAGCTGTGAGCCACCATGTGGCTAGGACCAAAACCCAGATTCTCTGCAAAAGCAGCAAGTGCATTTAATCACCGGGTCATCCATCCAGTCCTTAAATCAAAGCACTTTTGTTCTTTTTTTCTTAGACAGGGTTTCTCTGTAGCTTTGGAATGTGTCCTGGAACTCACTCTGCAGACCAGCTAGCCTTGAACTCACAGAGATCTGCCTATCTCTGAGTCCCAAGTGCTGGGATCAAAGTTGTGCACCACCTCTGCCTGGATTTCTTCTTCTTTTATTTATTTTTTAACTAGATTAGATTAGAAGCAGAAATGTGTTACCAGAATTTTATAAAAAAAGATTGACATAGCTGGTTTCAAGCCCCAGATCTAGTGACCTACATTGGTCTTGCGTTGCTTGATAACACTTTGGTTAATTATATTTTAACTAACTGCTCCCCTCTGTGTTTGGAACACCCTTTTCTTGGATAAACGATAAATGATTAATGAATTCCCAGGGAAAAGAATATTTCTTAAATTGAGTTTCCTCTACTTTTAGATTTGTTTGTAGAGAAAACAGTAGATGTGTTGTGTATACCAAAATAATAACTTAATATGACTCAGAAAGCATAGGTTTGTTTTTGAGAGCAATAATGCTCCAGGTTCCTTATCACCCAGCTGTGTTCTAACTTGAGATTATATATGCTACTAAAGGTCTTCCCATATACTGAGGACTCCTTCTGAGTCCCCTGTCTACTCAGCATACCAAAAGTTTTCTGTTGAACATGACTTATAGGATCAGTTTACCAATGAAGATGACACCTTATCCTGGTGACCCGGCACAAGCTTAAAAGCATAAGAGCTACCAATTTGGGGTGTCTTTTTCATGATAGACACTACACTGCAGCTCAGTTGTTTCTCCTTGTGTGTCCTATCACTTAGAGCTTAGAATGAGCCTACAAGGTAGATTTGAACTTAAGCATGAGAGTTGTCATAAGAGGGTTGTTTCACATAGCCACCCACTGTGACAGAATAGGGATTTAACTCAGGAACACAAACCCATGCTACACACTGTCTGTGTTTTTCACCATGGTTCTTCACATGGTCACAAATCAGTTCTTTTTTCTTTCTTCTTCTTTCTTTCTTTCATTCATTCATTCTTTCTTTTTTTTAGTGGAAAAGGTATTCCTTCCCTTTTATTGAAAATAGATGTTTTTCCTCACACAATAATACCTTGATTATGGTTTTCCTTCCTTCTTCTCCTCCTATTCTCTCCCCATCTCATCCATTCACTCCCTTTCTGTCTCTTGTTAGAAAACCAACCAGATTCTAAAGGATAATAATAAAATAAAACAAAAATTAATGGGCTGGAGAGATGGATGAGTGGTTGAGAGCACTGGCTGCTCTTTCAGAGGACCTAGGTTCAATTCCCAGCACCCACACAGCAGCTCACATCTGTCTGTAACTCCAGTTCCAGGGCTTCTGACACCTTCACACAGATGTACATGCAGGCAAAACACCAATGAGCATAAAATAAACATGAATTACTTTTTAAAAATCAACACACTGGAACTGGACAAGACAAACAAACAGGAGGGAAAAAAAGCTCAAGACAAGGCACAAAAATCAGAGACCCATTCATTTGCACACTCAAGAATCCCATAAAAACACGAAACTGGAAGCCACGCGATACACACACAGAGAACCCGGAGTGTATATATACATACACGCCTCTGTCCATGTGCAAAAGCCAGAAGAGGACATGGGGTATCTTTCTTTACCATTCTCC